ACACATATATATATATTTAACATATAAATAAATTAAATTAAACTATTTTATATATAATTAGAGTATTTTTAATATTTTTAAAATACAAGTATTTATAAATACAAATTTTTTATTATCTATTCTTGCCTTATTATTAAATGAATACATATTTAATAATCTATTTAAAACCTATATAGGTGTTTTATTCACAAGTGAATTTTCTTTTCATCGAATTTTAACACTTATCAATATTCTTTCTTTATTCTTCTTTTTGTAGTTTCTAGATATAAAATTGTTACATAAAGGACATCTCTAACACTCATTGGGTCTTCTTTTCAACCCTAATAGTGTGTTTGGATGGGGAATTTAAATGGAGTAATTCATTTATTTGAATAATTTCAAATTCTTTGAGGTGAAATACCTTATTTGGATGAAGAATTTATAAGGAATTTGAAATTCAAGCATTTGTAAAATTCCTTGAAATAGTAGAATTTCAAATTCTCCCAAAAAAGTAAGAATTTGAAATTCCTCATATTTTCTTTCTTATTTCACTTATATATTTTATCTTATCTCTTATTTCTTCAAGTTTTTAATTATTGAATATTCAAAAATATTTTTAAGATTATTAAATATTATCTAATATTAATTTTAAAATTTATTATAAATATTTAAAAATTAGCTAATATTTATTTTTATAAAATTTAATTTAAAAATATCAACATATAAATATATTTTTAAAATCAATTTTATCATGGTGGAATCAAATTATCATATCCAACCCAACAATTTAAAATTTGAGAAATTTGAATTGACTTATCCAAACAAAATATTTTAAGAATGATAGAAATTGAAATCAAAGTAATTCAAATACCAAGAATTTAAAATTCCTTGAATTTGTAAAATTCCTCATCCAAACATACTATAAGGACATTTTCAATAGAGATATCTTTTTTAGATTTTTAAGTGGAATTTACATGTAAATATCAATTATTTTACTCTTTTCAATTTAAGTACCCTTATAAACATTCTCTTCTCCAATTCAATATCTCTCATTTAAGATCCACAAATTTTTTTACATTTTTACATATTATCAATAATTTATTTATTAATTTAATTTTTTTTATTAAGTTATAAATGAGCAGATTTATTATTCTACTATTTTGTGAAATATTTTTTCATAACACGAAATAAAAAATACTTAAATAAATAAAATTCCATTTAAAATAATGAAGCCAACTGAATTATGCAATGGTAGAACGTTCAACTAAAATATGGAAAGAAAAAAATTTCAGTTTATAATAACATTGAAATAAGTTTTAAAAAATATATATATTATAATATTAATTTTTAATTAAAAAAAAAACCAAGAGTTGCAATGCTTCCAGAAGCTCCTAATTTTTAGATAATTCCCCATGCAATGGTAGATCTTAGGAGAATAGATACTGATAAGCATTTTTTTGGGTAAAGCACCTCGTTGTGGATGGCCTCTCCCCAAATCCAACATTTGGAGAAATTTAATTGAAATATACGAATAATATAAATATCGTTCCAACTAGCCTTCAATCATATATTAGAATTTGAATTTTTAATTATCAAGATGGGTAAATTAAAGAAAAAATTAATTTGAACAAGTCGTGTTTCTGAAACGGGAGAAATTGTGACTTGGAGTTTTTTTTTTAAATTTTTTTTAAGAAGTTGGGTTTCTTTAAAAATTTCAATAAGAAAATGTTATACGACTTCAGTTTTCTAATATTTAAATTGTTAGTTTTTTTATAATAAAAAATGTATTTTTTAAATTGAAGTTGTACATAGTGCGACTTTCATTTAATATTTTTCTATTCTTATACTATAAATAAAATACTCAATTTAGTGAGCGAGACTTTTACTTTCTTTTATTTTTTATTTTATGTAAAAGAGGATAAAAGCTCAAATTAAATTTTTCTAAAGAAAGAAACTAATAACAAGTCAACAAGTAAAGCTAATTGGATCTATGAAGGAGGATCTTGAAAAATGTAAATACTTTCAACTAACAAACGTCCATGCTTAGCCAAACTATCCCGCAACTTGGTTGACTTCTTGAAAAATGTGTGTGCATATCATCTCATGATCATTACCAACAATGTTTATTACTTTATTCACCAAGGAATAACATGAATGGTATTTAAGGCAACTATCATTTAAAAACTTAACTATCAAAGCCAAGTCGATCTTTATTAAAATAACGCCAATCAAATTCTTGTATGGGATAATTTTTAGGTCATGATTGATAACCTAAAATTCAGCTTGAACTATCAAACAAGGGCCTAAATTTCATAAAAAATCACAATAAAGTTCCCTCAATAATCATAAACAATACTATCATAGGAAGCAACTCTATTACTAACAACACCATCACAATTAAGCTTGTATACTCCCATAAGAGAAAGACCCCACCAAATAGTACTGAGTTGTAGAACAAATATTATTCTGACTTGTGCAACGACCAAATCTAACATTACAAATTCGAGTAGTGTGGCCTTGAATTTGGTAAACCAACTGGGATATATTTTTCCCCTAATCATTTTAGAAAACCATTTTATTCCTCCAAAACCATATAGCATCCACGATGACAGCAAATAACACCCCCAAGTTGGTCTTATTTGATTACTATTTTGCACATTTAAAGTAATCCACTCATTTGCATCACGTGAAGTAAAAAAAAATGATGGGGAGCATCCATGCAACAATGCATTCCACATTCCTAACACTACTATGCAATAACGTAGAATATGTAAGGTGGTTTCATCCTCTTTAAGACATAAGGGGCAAGTAGCACACCTTGATAGCCTTCTGCTAAACTGAAAGCTATTTGTAACTAAACTGGAGCGTGCAATGTGCTAAAGGAAAATCTAAAGTAGTTTTGATGCTTTCTAATTGCAAATATCACTAAACACTCGATGCACTCCTGCGTTATGATTATGACGAATAATTTTATACGCATTTTTCATAGAAAATTTCTCATATGAAGATTCATGCCAAGCAACTGCATTTGGGTCTTCCTTTAGAGACGGTGGAACCAAACCAACAACAAGACACCAAACATCTGCAAGGAACAAATACTTGATCCCTTGTAACTCCCAATCACCCTACTCATTTATATAATTAGGCACAACCTTAAATATTTCCTCTACTAGAACATTACAATCTGCTACATCAACTAAAATTGGAACATTGGGTATCCAATGGTCTAGCCAGAACTGCACGTGAGTTCCACCCCCAATTCTCCAAATTAAGCTTTTTACCATTAATGGCCAGATAGTACACATTCCTCTCCACACATCATAGACATTCTATTTAGCCGTTATCCTTGGTAACAGTTTCATACCACAATTATATTTAGCTTTCAGTACCTGAACCCACAACTTGTTGGAAGAAGTAAAAATCTCCCAACAGTTCTTCATCATGAAAAGGAAATTCATATGCCTCGTGCTTCTAATGCTTAGACCGCCTCCCAATTTAGGCTTACAAATCTCTTCCCAAGTTACTGCATGAACCCTTTTCTGATTATCTTGACCATCCAACAAAAAGCTTCTACAATGCTGGACAGGAACTCTTAAATGTCTCTCTAAGTTATTCGTACGCTAAAAACCGAATTGTTGGTTGATCTCTTCTCTTACTTCCCATGAGACATTTTTTGATTAATTCTTATTTTTTCTTGATTGACCTTTTGACCTTAGCTAGAGCAGGAGAGGTCCAAACACCTTTGAATAATTCAACATGCTCCAATGAGGCCTCAACAAAAAGCAACAAGTCATCAGTGAAGACCAAATGAGAAATATTAGGCCCTTTATCTTGATATACAAATAGGCTTCCAAAACTAATGGATCATTGCTAATTCAATAATATGAAACAATCTTTCCATGCATAGGACAAATAAATATGATGAAATGGGATCACCTTGTTTGATATCTCTTGTAGGTAGAAATTCTTCTAAAGCTTCCTCATTTCACATCATACACATTTTCGACAAAGAAATATACCCTCAAATGAGATTCACAAAATAATTTGAAAATCCAATATCTTGAAATGTTTCTGTTAGGAATGATAAATAAACTCGTACATGTATATACAATCTAACTATACCACTAGCTAGTTAATGTGAGACACCTAATACACTTTGACATTATTTTATGGATAAGTTTTTACTCAAAACAAAATTGATTCATAATTTTTGTTTTAATTTTAATTTTAATTGTTATCATCGTACCAAATTAATTCATAAAAGTTATTTTTTTTAAATAAATCTTAATACTTCGAGGATTAGTCTTTAACTTTTGGCTAAGAAATATTTTAATTTATCAAATAAAAAATAAAGGTAAAAATGAGGTGATTTTTTTCGATATAGTTTTACTAGAGTTGCTATTGTGGGATTAACATCCAAAATAAGATATTAAATATGTGTTCATTTATTAAAAATATATTTAATATTAAATATAATAAAGTGGAGTAATAATATAGATATATTCACATTCTTATAACTCACTTTCATCTCATTTTTTTTCCTCTTTTTATCCCAATCTTCCCTCCACTTCAATCTTAACTTTACTCTTAAAATTAAAATTGACAAAAGATGTCTAACTATTTAATATCTATCAAATTTTTGAAAAGAAATTATTTGTTTGACGATAAATACCCCATGATAATAATAAAAAAAACTTTAATTTTATAATTATTATATTAAATATAAATAAATATTAATTTGAATGTATTAAATATATTTACGTCAATTAAAACTTTCACCTTTATTCAAACCATTTAGCCAACTCACCTTACAACTTATCATTAATATCCTTCTTATCTGTGCCAGTTTAACACCAAGCTACATCAAAAAAATATTAGATGTAAAGTTTAATGGGAACAGTGAAGCAACGGTAACATTTGAGTTCAGTTTTTTGGAAGTTCCTTAAGGGGCACTTTGGGAAAATTGAAAAGTTAACGGAACCATTTGATATATATAACGTAAGTAAATCACTAGCACACAGAGAAAGATAGCAACCGCTAACAAAGTTGAAGAAAAAAAGGCCTTAGTGCTCAGTGCTAGATAACTTTTTCCTTTTTTCTTTTCTCATCTCTTACTTTCATAATTTCAACATCATACATTGATTCAACCAGTTTCATTCAGCCTCCACTGTCACTGAATCAGTCTAGGTTCTTCACTTTCACTTTCTATCTGGGAGGATCAAAGTGTGTGTTTTGTCCTCTCGCTGCTTCTTCTTCTGTGCTTCATAAGCAGTGATCATGGCAGCTATAAAGCCCGAGGAGATAAGCCACCCACCAATGGACCAACTTCAAGGCTTAGAGTACTGTATAGATTCAAACCCATCATGGGGTATGCATCACCACCTTCAAAGTTCAATCTTTTCTCAAACTGCATTGTTTGTGTTTTTGTTTCCTAGTTTAGTTTTCACTGAGTGGTATATGGTATATGATATATCTGTTGAAATTTTAACAGCTGAGACTATAGCTCTGGGTTTCCAGCATTACATTTTGGCCTTAGGAACTGCAGTGATGATCCCTTCATTTCTGGTGCCTGTGATGGGTGGAAGTGATGTAAGATGTTTCTATTTTCCATGTTCAAGTCCTTTTAGCTACTCCAGTTTGTTTTGTTGTTATGATTGATACTGATGATTTGTTTTTGATGTAGCATTGGAAAATCTTTATACTAAGGAAAAGTTTTGAAGTTTTGGTTGATTGTTTTTGTTTTATGTATTTGATTTTGTCACATGCTGGGTGGATCCCACCGAAATGAAGTTTGGTGGCTCTGAAATGAAATTGCCAATATATAGAGAGAGAATTGACATTTATGTATTGACTTCTTGTTGGTTCAGGATGATAAAGTGAGGGTGGTACAGACCCTGCTTTTTGTTGAAGGGATTAATACACTCTTGCAGACACTCTTTGGAACGCGATTACCAACCGTGGTAGGAGGATCATATGCATTCATGGTCCCCGTTATATCTATAATTCGTGATCCTTCCTTTGCAATGATAGAGGACCCACATCTGGTTAGTGCGTTTCTGTAATCTCTCTTTCATGTTTTGTCCTCAATTCAATTGTTATGTTGATATGGTTAAAGCTTATTCAATGTGAAAATTTATAGTTTTAACTAGAAAAAAGACCTTTACAGAGTAGCGAGCTATACACATTAGTGTCATATTTATTGTTAAGCTTGTTGGCAGTACGTTGGCCCTACATAAGGTGGTGAAATTTGTCTTCTTTTACTAGCCATTCATTACACAGGGAAAATAACTTGGGACAAAGTTTAGAATAATAATGTGCATGAGAAAACGTTAAAATCATGTTGAATTTGTCATCTCCGTTGCTTAAATTAACGCCTTTCTATTCAACTCCAGAGATTTCTTAGCACAATGAGAGCAGTCCAAGGAGCTCTAATAGTAGCTTCAAGCATACAAATAATTCTGGGATTTAGCCAAATATGGGCTATTTGTTCTAGGTAAGTTTTTTATTTTTTTTATTTTTTTTTTATGTGGAAGTATGCATACATTTAAAGTCATATATCCGCTATTAGCATGAAACTTGAATACCACATTCCATAGCCTATATATATCTAATAATTGATGTCCTCATCCTTTCTATTCAGATTTTTCAGCCCACTGGGAATGGTTCCAGTAATTGCATTAGTTGGCTTTGGATTATTTGACAGAGGCTTCCTTGTGGTATAACACTAAACCACATGTTGCTTGTACTATATGTCAGGATATCTTAATTATAAAATTTAATAGTATTTTTTTCTTGGCTCATGTTTAACAAATTACACTGTCCTTTCTCAGGTGGGGACTTGCGTTGAAATTGGAGTTCCCATGCTAATCCTGTTTATAGCCTTCTCTCAGGTACAAATTATATTTACTGTAGTTATCTCATACACAGTGAAAAAAAAGGTTGTAACAAGCTTCTAGATAACAAATAGAAAATAAAGTTTTTGAAATTTCACCAGCATAGGCTTGAACTAATAAGCTTAAGTACCCAAAACCCTTGTCACTAACCACTCCTAATTATGTGTTATGTGCAGTACTTGAAGAATTTTCAGATAAGACAAGTACCTATACTAGAGCGATTTGCTCTACTGATAGCAACAACAGTGATATGGGCATATGCACATTTGTTAACAGCAAGTGGAGCATACAAACACCGCCCGGACTTAACCCAGCGTAGTTGCAGGACAGACAGGGCAAATCTCATTTCTTCTGCTCCATGGTTGGTACCAAAAGGATCTTTGTTGTTGAATATTTGTATACACACACATACTTTTACTGTTAAAAAATTATTATGTACATGAATATAGCCAAATAATACGATTGAGCCACTTATTGACTCTTGAAAATGTTGTGGCAGGATAAAGATTCCATACCCTCTTGAGTGGGGTGCTCCTACATTTGATGCTGGCCATGCTTTTGGAATGATGGCTGCTGTGTTAGTCTCATTAGTTGAGGTATTGCCACGTGCTAAAAATTAATTGCTCTACAAAATAGTATATGCACAAATAAAGTAAAAGTTTTACCCATAACATATCGTAAATTTGTTAATATTTTACTTATGCTTAATTGCATTTTTTTTTATATAAATTTTACATTTTCACACCCTATTAATTGATTGTCGTTGTTAGTTGATTATTAACAACGTAATATATTAATATGTGACATACTGATATATTGATATGTCATGTTAATTATAAACATATATTATTAATGTAATATATAAATGATAATGTGGTAATGTGACATGTCAACATAATAAATATGAGAAACAAACATAATCATAAAATATGTAAAATTTTAAAATTGAGTGACAACATATTGATTGTAAAAAGTGCAGTTACTGATGGTAAAAAGTGGAATTAAGCCTTTGTCTTAAAACCTTGTTAAAATCTTTTTCTTCTTTTTCCTCTTTTCAGTCAACTGGGGCATACAAAGCAGCATCACGTCTAGCAAGTGCCACACCACCTCCTGCTCACGTCCTGAGCCGTGGTATTGGTTGGCAGGGAATCGGAATCTTGCTGAATGGCCTTTTTGGAACACTCACTGGTTCAACAGTTTCTGTGTAAGTGCTATTGTTCTTCATGAAGTAATATTCATTCTTTTCTTCACTTTTTATTGGGGACACAAATTGATTCTTTTAGGACTATGACAGAGAGAACGTGGGGCTTCTAGGAAGCAACCGTATTGGCAGTCGAAGGGTCATTCAAGTTTCAGCTGGCTTTATGATATTCTTCTCCATGTTAGGTGTGTGGAATAACATCAATGTGTAAATTAATTCCAACTAATTTCATAGTGTTACTTGAAGTTCATAGTGTGCTTCTCTCTTCAGGAAAATTTGGAGCCTTATTTGCATCAATACCATTCCCCATTTTTGCTGCTGTGTACTGTGTTTTGTTTGGAATTGTGGGTGAGTACCACCAACTAAACTAACTATGCCTTTTTGTTTCTATTTGATTCCTTCCTCTACCTTGTTATGACAATTATATTGCTAATTTGTTTTTCCAGCTTCTGTGGGGCTATCATTTTTGCAATTCACCAACATGAACTCCATGAGGAACCTCTTTATTTGTGGTGTTGCCCTCTTCTTAGGTTTGTCCATTCCTGAGTATTTCAGAGAATACACTATCAGGGCCTTTCATGGCCCTGCTCATACAAAGGCTGGATGGGTGAGTTCATTGTTTTATCTCTCTCATAGTGAACACCATGTTCAATGACAAAACTTAGATGGAGTTTAAGTTTTCAACTTTTTATGGTACCTTTTTTTTTAATATTATTAGAGTTTTACTACAAATAATATACATAATAAATATTTGACTCGGACTTTGATAGGAGAATCAATAACCTATAAAGAGAATCATTGCATCTAAGTTTTGTTATACATTTAACTAAAACCAATTTTAGGACCTTGACATACATTCTTTTCATGGAAAATATAATAATGAAATTGAGTTTTTGTCCTTTGGTTTTGCAGTTCAATGATTTCCTCAATACTATATTCTTTTCTTCCCCAACCGTTGCATTGATTGTTGGTGTGTTCTTGGACAACACTCTTGACTACAAGGATAGTGCGAAAGATAGAGGAATGCCATGGTGGGCTAAGTTTAGAACATTTAAAGGAGATGGCAGAAATGAAGAATTTTACACCCTACCTTTCAACCTCAACCGCTTCTTCCCTCCATCCTAAAAGACTGAAGTGGAAAAACATCATTTCCAAATAAGGGTTTGGGAGTGAAGAGCTAGACAAAATGTTCATGTATGTATTTTCAGGAAGCAGAGGAATTTGGTTTAATTACAGTTTTTCATTATAATACAACAAAAACTTGCTTGTGAATTAAATTTTTAACTTAGTTCTCAATTTTTTAATTCGTTTGCTTATTCTCAATATTTATTGTTCTTTTCATTCTTTCTTTCCCTTGCTTGCTTAAATAGGCAAATTTTATTATTCATTTGTGAACTTGTTTGTAATATTATGAAGTAGTGGAATTTTTCAATATTATCATCACATCGTATACTAAATAAACTATTAGCGTAGTTTTTTTTTTTTTTTAATTTTTAATTACATGCATTATTTCTAAAGTATTAACAATAATATTTTAGAAATAATGTATGTAATAAAAAAGAATATAGCTTTAATAATAAATTAATTTAATATGCAATGACAATAAATAAATAAATAACTTTAGTAAAATTTTCACCGAAATATATATTTTTGTAGATTATAGATTTTTTCCAAATTTATTACATAAATAACAAAGTGGCACTTAAGTAATTAACAACAGTCCTTATAAATTGAGAGATTACACGGTGTTATTTATTTATTGATAGTAGTGTTGTAACAAGGTGAAGTAATGACATTTTGAAAAGTCACTTACTTGGTAAAGTTTTATAAACTAAATTCTAGTAATCAATACTTACAACGTTAATATTTGAGGATTTATCAAATAAGGAATATGAGAATAAAGGACAAACAGATATAATTTTTTTTCCAGGTACGGGTAGAGAAGGAATAGTCAAGCTAAACTTCGTCTTGAATAAATTTAATTTGTTTTCTGGATCTAATTTATGTATCCTTGATATGATTTTTTTAAAATTTAATCTAAATTTTAAAAAGTCTTATGAAAGTAGGGAGTCTATTTTTTTAAAAAAATATTTTTGTTATAAAATCATTTATTTTCATATTATAAATTAGAATATTTATCATTGAACACATGAATCAATAAAAATGAAATAGTTTTAAATTAATCAAATGATGAGTTTTATCGTTTATAATAATCATATTTAGTTAAGGAAAAACTTCCCACTCATAATAATCACACTTAAACATAATTGATTCCAATAAAAGATATTGTATTTAGAAAAGAATAAACAGAATATTTATTTTCTAATAAAAAATAAAATATCTAATTTATAAAGTAAAATCCTCACTCTATTAATTAGAGATCCTCAATATTTCTGTACTTTTATTTGAAGATGTATTTCATAGGCATTCTTTACAATTAATTACTCTCTCATCTTTTAGTATGAAATAAATCATTATTCTCTTTTAGTCTTCATTATAAGAATATAGACATACTTTAATGTATTGATGGATAATATCTAATCTTTATTTGTCAAATCTATTAATTCTTATATAATTAAATATATTTATTCATCTATTAACAATCCAACTTATAGTCATTCATGAAAAAAAAATATCATGAATTAGGTTGTCATTAAATGTAAGTATTGTTTCAACCATTCAATTTAACGAGTATATTTTAATAAAATTTAAATTTATAACATAATTAATAAAAATGAATATATTTAATTAATTATTTTTATTAGCCTCAATAAATTAATCATTTATTTTTATATAAAATATAAAACTGTGAAGGTAGTAAGAAATATCTCTCCCCAAGGATTTTAAAAATATTTCTATATTACAACTGAAACTATTTATTAGCATAAATAAAAAATATAATTTTATATAGTAATACAATTCTTTACTTGGCAGGCTAGTAGGTGTGTAGAAAGAAGAATAAAAGACAAGGGCGTATTGTAAATTGTAATGTAAATATGGTGTTGCAGATATTTGTTGTTGTAGAGACTAAAAACTAAAAAACAGTTATGCAACAAGTTGGTGACGGTGACGGTGACGGAAGGATTAAATAGACCAGTAAGCTATAAAGAACAAGTCTCTCTTCCCTCATCCCACAACACTCATGTCTGACCAGGTGCGTTCACCCCCTTTTTTTCGAATCTCGTTAAATTGCAAAACCACCTTCTAATTTTCCTTATTTCCGAGGATCAACCTGCTAACACTTCTATAGCCCTCCAATTCTTCTTCTTTTATTCTTCCCCTTCCTCATCTGATTATGCTAAGGACTGTTAGGGTTTTTTCTTTTTCTATTTTTCTTTTCTGGTGAAGAAAAATCTTTCCTTCGCTGAAGATTTTGGTTATTGAGCTTAAAAGAGAATACCCCTTTAGCTCAGTTTCATCTTGATCGGTGTTTTTTTTTATTTATGAGATTTTATTTATTTATTTGGGGTCTGGGGAGAGGTTCTGAACTGGGTGTCTAATGATTCAGGATTTTGTCTTCATTTTTGCTTGTTATTTACTATATTCGTCACGCTTGCTTGTTTGTTTTTGCTGTTATGTTTGCTTGTCTTCAACCTTTTTTTAACCAGCTTGTTTCCTTAATTTCTCTAATCTAACATCATCCTTGTGCTGTCTACCTAGTACCTATCTTTTGTTATGGAGCTTAGATTTTGAATAAATGAATTGCAATATGATCTGGTTAGCACTCTGTATCCTTCTGGTCAGTCTCTTCTGGCTAGCGAGTGTGTTACTATGTTTTCGATGACTATTTTCTTTTCTTCCAACTTTACCTTCTTTGAGACAACGAATCGTTTTGAAATATGTGCAAAACATTTGAAATTGTAGTATTCAATTCTTATATGTTGTTAATAATTGTGGCAATTTGACAGATGTCTACCTCTGTTGAGAATGGAAATGATTCTCTGAATGGTCACATCATATCCACTACAGTTGGAGGTAAAAATGGGAAGCCCAAACAGGTATTTTCTTTGTGAAACCCACTTTTCCTTTAATTTGACAACTATTAACCATCTTATTTTCTGATTCTGAGTTTGTTAAAAATGTAACTTGGAGTCTTGGATCTTTAAATGCTATGGGATTTAGGTGATTTCACCTCTGACCCATGCTAAATATTTGGTTGAAAATTTAATGTCTCTGTTGATGTTTCTTGTAGACAATAAGGTACATTGCGGAACGCATCGTGGGAGCTGGGTCATTTGGAATTGTCTTCTTGGTAGGCCAATACTATATTCATAGCTGATACCATCTCCATATATTTTGGCACATGCTGATAATTTTTCCTCTTAGGCTAAATGCTTGGAAACGGGGGAGCCTGTGGCCATTAAGAAAGTATTACAGGACAGAAGATATAAGAATCATGAGCTACAGTTAATGCGCAAGATGGACCATCCAAATGTAATCTCTTTGAAGCATCGTTTCTTTTCCACTACAAGTGCAGATGAACTTTTCCTTAATTTGGTGATGGAATATATTCCAGAGTCTATGTATCGAGTCTCAAAGTTCTATAGTAATACTAATCAAAGAATGCCACTTATCTATGTAAAACTTTACATGCATCAGGTATGCTTCAGATTTTCTGGGGATTGATAACGTTTTGTTTTATCTTTTCACATCCTGATATAGGTCTTTGGTACAAATATAGATTTTCCGGGGGCTGGCTTATATCCACACTGTCCCTGGGGTTTGCCACAGAGATTTGACGCCTCAAAATATACTGGTTTGCTCATATATTCTTGCTGAATGGACATTATTATTAAGACTTTCTTTCCAAATAAAGGAACTATTTCCTAATCTGATGTCATTTTCCGTATTCTCTAGGTTGACCCACTTACACACCAGGTTAAGATATGTGATTTTGGAAGTGCAAAAGTGTTGGTATGTTGACTTCATTCTCAGCAACTCAAACACATTTGTATTTTGTTTATCATCATCATCATTATTATTATTATTATATCTAATAAATAAGACTAGATTCTCCTTTAATTATATTAGATCTCAACCAAGTATTATCAATTAACATCATTGATTAGAACCTTGAGGGAACCAACCAAAAAAGCTAACCGTTGTAGTGGGAAAGTTCAAGGCCTCATACTCATAAACCCCATACTAGAATCCCATATTTCCAACTTAGGGCATAAGCTATGAAGCCTAGATACTTAGTACGACATGGGTGCGATACGACACAGATACGGGGATATGAATTTCTTTTTGAAATTAAGGATACGATATGTTAGAAAAAATAGAAAATTTTATATAAATATAAAATATTGGTAAAAAAGAAGAAGAGAGAAATGTATCTTTGTAGAATATGTATATTAACTTTTAAAAGGTTTTTTCCATTTAAAAATTTTAAAACTAAATAAAAAATTAAAATATTAATAAAACGAACATTTGGGTAAAAAAAACGTATCCAAGCTGTATCACATGTTATAAAGCCGTATCCAGCCATTGTGAGCTGTATCAAAGCCATATCAAAGCCTTATCCAATAATTATTTAAAAAAAAAATAATAATAATCGGATACTCCTTGGATACGTATCCTAGCCGTATCGGTGTCTAATATGGGTTCAACACCGATACTTTTCCATTTTTGGAGTATTCGGGCTTCATAGGGAATAAGTTCCATACTCATACCTTGCAATTGGATCCTAACAGTAACAGTCACCTTTGATGGTGTATATGACAAGGATGTCACAATTGGAATTCCGGAAATTGTGGCCAGGAGATGGTGAAAAGAAAACAAAGAATTAATTTTTTATTGATTGATGTTTTCAAATAACTATCAAAGTTTATTAAATTGTTATAAATTGGAAAACCCTTTTTTATTAAAAAATATAGTTTGCACCCTAATACTTTAAAAGTGGTTGGTTACCTTGTAATTAATTGTGCAACTATTAATAATTTTTAAAATATTTGTTTTAACCCCAAGATAAAATAAGAAATTGAATAAAAAAAAGGGGAAATTATTTTTTTTAGATTATTTTAGTTCAGTAGATAGTTTCCTTACTCTGAAGCGTCCCACGATGCAACAGAGAACTGAAAGCTATGTCCATCATGTCATACTTGCTTTGTTTCATTATTTTCAGGAACTTCTCTTCTGCTTGCCCTTCTTTGTTTCCTTCGATTTACTCTCTCTCATCTTATTGGAAAAAATCCAAGTTTCACATGGACTAGAGATTAGACAATTAAATAGTATATAAGTGAAAAGCAACCCTCACCTTACAAGTCGGCTTTGTAGGGTTGAGTTAGACTCAAATCCACTATTTTAAGATGGTATCAGAGCTATCTAAATCCACTTTAAATGGGTCACCTACCATTGATACATGCACCCATTCCTAGATCATTAAAAAGGGTCACCTATCATTTATCCACATACCAAGTCTAATAGTGCTGGACGTGAGGGGGTGTATTGGGAAAAATCCAAGTCTCACATCGACTAGAGATTAGGTAATTGAATAGTATACAAGTGGAAAACAACCCTCATCTTACAAGCCGGTTTTGTAGGGTTGAGTTAGGCCCAAATCTACTATTCTAAGATATTGGGAAAAATTCAAGTTTCATATCGACTAGAGATTAAGAAATTAAATAATATATAAGTGGAAAACAACTCCCACCTTACAAGCCAGTTTTGTAGGGTTGAGTTAGGTTCAAATTCACTATTCTAAGATGGTATCAAAGCTTTCCTAGATTCTTAAAGTGGGCCGCCTATCCTAGATTATTCAAAAGGGCTACTTACCATTTATCCACGTACCAAGTCCAATAGTACTGGACGTGAGGGGGTGTATTGGGAAAAATTTAAGTCCCACATCGACTAGAGATTAGGAAATTAAATAATATATAAGTGGAAAACAACTTTCACCTCACAAGCAGGTTTTGTAGGGCTGAGTTAGGCTCAAATCTACTATTCTAAGACATCTTCCACACTATAATACCTGTCTCCTCATCGAGTGATTCCTACTGCAATAAGCCAATAACTATATTGTAACTGGTTTACTCTTCATATCTTTTGTAGGGTTGAGTTAGGCTCAAATCCACTATTCTAAGACATCTTCCACACTATAATACTTGTCTCCTCATCGAGTGATTCCTACTGCAATAAGCCAATAACTATATTTGTAACTGGTTTACTCTTCATACCCTGATCACTGGGTTCAAACCTTACTATTTCTACTTTTAGGACCTATTTGAATAAACTTTTCTATAAACACTTCTAGAAAAAGAAAAGATCGAATTAACTTCCTTATAAGCTAAAATTAGATTATACGCAAGTTAAAAAAATATTTTGGAGAAGTTAATATGAGATAGCTTCTCTAAATTAGCATATGTAACTTCTGCGCAACAGTGAAGGTGTGTGTATGGTGTGCAGAGCTGTACAGAGAGTGATTATTAGAACTAGGGAGAGGAATGAAGTGGTCAGCAAATTAGAGTAAGTGGCTGGTAGCTGCAAGGATGTGATTGAGGGAACTGAAAGATGAGAGAGGAGATAGAAACAAGTTTTTTTTCCTTCAAATAGATATCAAATTACTATAATATCCCTAAAACGTGTTAACTAAAGAGATGAATGAGTTTTTTGTCATAAATTTTGTGTGTAGATTGCTAATGCATTCCAACTAAAAAATTGTATGTATATTAGCAATCCCCACATATATATTTCAACATTTTATCTTTGTCACATAAACCTTTTATATGATATTGTTTTGGCCTTTTGGGTAGACCAAGCAGTTTTGGTTTTTGATATTGCTGTGTTTTGGGCCTTTTGGGTAATCCATTCTTTTTGTTAGTCAAGTAGCCTTGTATAACTTAAGAGAGGGGGGAGGGTGAATTAAGTTATCCAATTTTTCTTCCTTTATGAGTTTTTAGAAATGCTTTCTTATAAATTCTATTTCTTAGACAAATTGTATATAAAGATTAATGATGCAAAACTACTTAAAGACAATTAAATAACATAGGGAAAGAAGAATTGCAAATTTGTTTTATACTGGTTCGGCCAATCTTGCCTACGTCCAGTCCTCAAGTCTCCAACTTGAGATTTTCACTATTCTTGTAATTCTTACAAGACTTGAATCCTCTAACACCTTGGAACTCCCTTTCCTTGTGTTGAGATTCAAAAACTAACGAGGATAAAAACTCTTTCTCCTTTACAGATCAAATGATCAAGTGGGTATAACAAAATAACTCTCTTTGAATAGTAGATATTACACTTTGAAGATCTTAATGAATTCTTTAGAGAATAATGCAAATGACTTTGGCCAAGAAGTTTTGTAAATATCTTTTTCACAATAGAGTTCGTAACCTTCTTCTGAAAAATTATAGGTATTTATAGACAATTATTTCTTAGGTTGTGTCTTTTTATGAAGAGTTGTAACTCTTTACAATTTTTCAAAAAAGATACTCTGGTAATCGATTACAAGGAATTGGTAGTTGATTACAACAGTTTTAAGTTCAAAAATAATTTGAAACGTTGTATTTTTTAAATTCAAATTTTGAAGTTCCCTCTTCTAGTAATCGATTACAAGGTCTAGTAATCGATTACCAAAACACGTTTTTAGCATTTGATATTACTAGTTTTGCTTTTTGAAAACTTATGAATTTAGAAGCTTTTACTTACTAGTCAAAATTATTTTTGTATAGTTTTTTGAACACTTTACTTTTTACTTTCTTTTTCAAAATCTTATTCTTATATTCAAAAAGACTAAGTTTAAGTATTTCTTGAAATCCTTATTTTAATGTCCAAGTAAAATTTGCAATTTCAAAAAGTTCCTTTTACATATTAAGCTAAATTGACAAGACTTATCTAGTTAATTCTTGAGATCTTTCTTCTTGATCAACTTGTTTTAGCTTGACCTTTTATTTTCTACAATGCTTTGACATCATCAAAACTTTGTGCATATGTTCTTCAACACTTTTTTTGTGTTTTCTGGAGGTTTTTGTATGTTATATATGCATTAAATTTATGCGTTCATAAGCTTTTGAATTATGACTCCTATTACAATGTCCACAATCATTTTTTTTCCGACCGGCATTTCTTGTTTATTTGGGATTTTGTGTGATCAGGTCAAAGGTGAAGCTAATATATCACATATATGTTCACTTTTCTATCGGGCTCCGGAACTTATGTTTGGTGCCACTGAGTATACTACTTCAATTGATATTTGGTCAGCTGGCTGTGTCCTTGCTGAACTGCTTTTGGGCAAGGTTTGTCATTGCTTTTATTCTACTGATAAAATGATGCAAATAGTCGCATACTCAATACTATTTACTACCTACATACCATCTGACACATGGAACTTTTGAAGCCATTATTTCCTGGCGAAAATGCAGTGGATCAGCTTGTAGAGATTATCAAGGTGCAATTGGTGTTGCAACATGTTAGATTTCTAAGATCATATCACTCTTGTCATAAGAAGTCAGCTCAATAAAATATGTATTTCATTTTCAGGTTCTTGGCACACCCACTCAGGAGGAAGTTCCTTGTATGAATCCAAACAAAAAAAACTTCAAGTTTCCGCAGGTTAGAGCACATTCATGGCACAAGGGCTACATTTTTAGCTCTCTTCTGCCAGTTGGTTTTTCAGATTATCAAAGTAAAGTGAAAAGAAAAGAATCCTGGAAATTCTAAACCATATAAATTTTGAGTGTAGATATTCCATGAAAAAATGCCTCCAGAAGCAATTGATCTTGCTTCCCGGCTTCTGCAGTATTCCCCAAGTCTTCGATGTACTGCGGTGAGTGTCATGCTCTAATTGTGATTTATTTGTCTGTGTGCAAATAATTTGTCTTTCTTCAATGTGCCAGTCTATTTTTCTTCTGAATCTTATCATTTACATTAGTGACTGGTATATATATTATCTAGCATAGCAGTTTGAGGAGATTTTCTTTTGTTACGCAGCTAGAAGCATGTGCACACCCATTCTTTGATGAACTCCGTGAACCCAATGCTCAGTTGCCGGATGGTAGTCCATTTCCCCCTTTATTCAACTTTAAACAAGAGGTGAGTGTGGCTGCCTCATCTTTTTTGCTTTGAACGAAGGTTACAAAAATCCAAATGCCCGACAATACAATTTTATGATCAAGATTCAAGATCAACATCCTATATACCAAAATTTGATAGATAACTTCATCATGAATATACCCATGACCTGATATTCAGTTAAGTCTCTTACGTGTTTATGTTCTCTGTTTACAGTTATCTGGAGCATCTCCAGAGCTTATTGATAAATTGATACCTGACCACGTGAAGCGGTAGATAGGGCTATGATATGTCCATTTGGCTGGAACATGATGTTAAGCTCGGCAAAGCCACAATATGACCATTTGTTTATCTGGAACAGGATGTTTAAGCTTGGCAAAGTGTATAGGATACAAGTTAAAAGAGGGGTAGCATCTTATAGTCTAAATTACAAGTTATTATATGGTGGCAGTGTAATTCTGTGCCTGACTGGGACCAAGAATTGGGTTCTGGGTAGCAGCAGTTGATCCACCACTCCAGCCAACATATATGAAGCATGAGAACTCTAAAATTAATGTGGACACGTACCGGGTACACACTGAGTACTGTAGGTACCAGGTATATAACATGATTATTTTTCAAAAAAAGTAAATTAACTCGGTATGAATACACTTGGGCACTATTTGGGTATGTACTGTCCCAAACTTGTGGTGGATCGTTTATGGTGCTACAATCCCCAAACATCCTTGAAGGATTTAGTTTTTATACATTCAAATCGTCATCCGCTCCCAAAATAAGAGATTATAGTGAGGATGAAAGCAAAATGTTAAATATTGGTGGAAATAAATAGGATTTATTTGAAGGGCTTGAAGTTCAAGTTCTTACTCTGTCCTGATGAAGCTGATGTGGACCATTAATTAGGATTATCATATCTATTTATTTAGTCTTGATTTTTTCATCTTTTTTCTTTTTTTCTTTATCTTAACCTATCTTGATATTTGAATTTGAGAATCTTGATTTCAGATCCTTATTTTATTGTTTAGGATAATTGTTCATTTTGATCCTATTAATTGGGAATCTCTATTTTTATTTTAGCAATAAGGATCAATTAGGATTTTTGTTAGGGATATCTTTGTAGCCTTTTTTAAAGGCAGACTTTATTGAAATATTATCAATGAGAAATAACTTCCAGAAAAACTTGTGTTGGTTTAGGAGGGGTTCTGTCCTAGTCGAGTTTGCTTCTTGCTTCTAAAATTTGGGTTAATTTATCAGGACAAGAGCTCTGTATTTTATTTTTTTTTCGTCTTGATCATGTTTATATAAGAAAATTTCTCATCTGTATCTTTTTAAGTTTACACTAACAAACTTGCGTGGTTGTACCCAAGATTTTTTTAAAATTACGTATTTTTTATCCTGTACCCATATCCATCCAACATAGGCCAACATGCTCCTTGTGAAATGTAATGTTGGGTTTGCCTGTTTCTCACTTCAAACACATGTCCTGATTCTTGTTCAATTGCTGAGCCTTCCATTTTTTTTTTAATCTTCATGTTATATTAGGACTTTATGCATAGATTTCTCGTTTTGAGCGTATCAGTGCATTATTTCTTCCGAACTGTTGAGCTTGTGGACATGATTAACCAGTCTGTTGTCGGTGGCACTGAAGATGATTAATTATCATCTTAGGTACACATGCCATCAAATAATTGCTCTGGTTGAATGAAATATTACAGCTGACTTGTGCTACATTGAATATCATCGTAGTTATGAAGATTTATTAGATTATGAATCGATTATTCTATACTTATTTTTTTTTTATAAAAAAAAAGTGTGGCAAATAAATTCTAGTTTGGCCGTGAGGAATTTTCTCTCACACATGTTGATCCTGCTAATCACGTTTATGTTTGCAGTTGTGCAAGTGGTTATATTTGAAAAATAAGGTCACACAACTGGCTAGTTTCCGATTTCAGTAATATAGATTTAGATGCTTTGCACATGACATGATAGTACAGAGTAAAAATGAAAATTATGTTAGCGCTGGATGTATATGGCACATGGCAGAAAGGATATTAGTTGGTATTACTTCTTTGGAACACGAAGATAACACTGGTGGCTCACAAGAAATTGGTTAGGAAAAAAATGAATAAAATTTATATTTTGTGAAACTACATTTGCTTAATCGAACTACTGTTGTCTCATATGAAAGTATTACCCCCTTGCTCTTTTTGTTTTCTGGATCTGTTTTCTGTAGTTCCTGATAAGCATTAAGCATTTTGTTTACTTTTGTTGGGTGTGTTATTTTGTAATATTTGAATTTCAATTTTTGTGGTGTTTTGGTGTGTCCAATTGTGGGGTGACTGGTGAGGCTCCAGTCTCCACCTCCACGGCCCACGGGATTTAGGTGTGACGTGTGAGAGGCTGATGGTTTGACCGCAAATGGAAAAAGCGTCCTCTTTTCTCTCCTGCTCGCTTTTTTCTCGGTTTGCGTCTTGCCAAGGACAAATCTTCTGCGGCTCCCATATTTTTCTTTTTTGACTTCTGTTTCAAGGTCCCATATATAATTTTTTTAATAAGATTAAACTGTAGTTTATTATTTTTATTTATTTATTATAATTAAATTATGGCATAACTTTTTATATAATAAAATGTTATCAATTAAATATTTATTTAAACTATTTACCTAAACATAACATTTTTTTATTCAAAGTAAATGTTATCGAACATTACTTCAACTTAAAACAATTTTTTTATATGAGACTATTAACGTGTTTGGGATGGCAGTGAGCTGAGGGGAAATCATTTTAATTTCATGTGAATGGGAAGCAACGCTTTGTTGTGGCGGAAAATGGGGAAGTAATGTTTTTTAACGTGGCTTTTACAAAGTGTTTTTGTTTTAATCGAAAAGTTTATATTGGAATAAGATACAATTCCATGTAAAATTAAAATTAATTCATCAATTTTTTTTTATAGATTTTTAATGAGAATATAGATTATCTATCTCAACTCTTTTTTTATAGTGTGTTTGATGTAATAAAATGATATGAAAATAAGACAAAATTAGAAAGAAGTCATCTATTTATAATATAAAAGTTGAGTTATACTCTAATATGTCACTTTAAAATGCATTTACGCACTATGATGTTAACGAGAAAATTTATATGTTATTTTGTAGTCTTTTACTTATTTTAATATATCTCTATCCATAAAAATTAAAAGTCACAAAATCTAAAAGTTTCACTCTTTATAATATCACTCACTCACTCCTCCTCCTCCTCCTCTCCCCCTCCCTCTTTCTTTGATTATGAGTTTCTCATTCTTCACAAAGATGTCAATCTCATCATTGTCATTACTTCTCTTTATCCCTTCTTTAACGACTACTTCTTTCTCAAGGGTTGCAATGCCTTTATCCTACTCTCCTCCATCGCTTTTATCTCCACTTACACCAACCTCTTCCTCTCGGGCTCACTTGCCCCAACAGTCTCTTACACCAACATCTTCTTTGTTGTCACCCATGACCTCTTCACCACATTAAAATCATTTTTGTGATTAGAAAAGATAAATTTCATTTTGTAATCTTATTAATTTCATTATTTGTCATTAATTTGTATTGTGACCCCTTGAAATCAAGGAATAAAGAGATTTCATGTTTGTATATGGTGTCAACTATAATAATTAATTTTTTCTATTTTTACCAGTTTTGATAACAACACATTTATTGTATTTTTACTATAATTATTTATTTCTTTTTCCAATCTCTCCCCATTCAGTATTTACATTTTTACATTTGTTACAATATATTTGAAAGCCTGTCCAAATAAATATTTATCGATCTATCTATTTTGTTGCTCATTTTTCTTTGATTTGTACAAGATAATTAACTATTTCATATTAGCACCAAAATTAATACGAAATTATTTAGTAAATCAAAATTTGTATATTTCAAACAATTATTTAATTTTTATTTACCAAAATAAGTATAAAATATGTTGTTTTAAAACATAAATTTTAATTAAATAATTGAGATATTAACTTTATAGGAGGATGAATCTGTTTACTTCAGGAATAAGTATACCTGGACTTACTCCGTTCAATAACTCATAATCTACATCAAATTTCAATGATCCAATTGTTGAAATTAAAGTTTTTAATACATAGATCAAATCTGCAAATTTTAAAAAAAATTGAAAATCATTTGATACTTTGTTTCATTAATTCAAATCAATGTATAAAATGATTTATGATTATCCGTCAATTTGAATTAATGAAATGAAGTATCAAATGATTTTTAAATTTTTTAAAAATTTTGTAGACTTGATATATGCATTAAGAACTTTAAATTCAATGATTGGATCATTAAAATTTGATGTAGAACATGAATTATTAAACGACGTAAGTCTAGGTAGACTTACTCTTAGAGTAAACAAATTCTTCCTCATATAAAATAATTTTACCAATTATTATACCGTTCAATAATTTTTAATTAAATGTGAATTTTATCGATCAAACCACTAAATTATAACTTCATATCATCTTGTATGTGTATATCAAATTTTGTTAAAATTGAACAATAATTTGAAGGTAATCAAGGTGTTCATATTTTAGTATATTTTAAAATGTATATATTATATCAATTTTGTTTTATAAGAATAATGTATTAAATCATCTTAAAATAATATAAAATTTTGTATATATGATTTAGGAGTAAATTTTTTTTCAATATAATGATAAGTTTTGAAAAATTTACACTTAATTAAAATTTATTAAATGATATAATAATTGATAAAAATTACTCTCATTTAAACTCTTCTCTCTCTATAACTAATTTTGTGTTTTTTTTTAATTGCACTTTTTGTGTTTAAAATCACATGCATTGTGAAAAATAATTTTATTTGAGTTAGATAAGATTTCTTTAAATGACAAATAGAGTGTGTTCATGGTTTGGTTCTATAAAAAGAACTAAATTATAAAACAATTCACTTGAAATGAACCGATAAGTATTTAAGGGGGAAAAAAAAAAGGTTCTCTGAATCAAATTGAAAAATAGTTTGCTCAAACCAAACTGAATCCATTTTTTTTCTTAAAAAATGGTTTAATTCAACTTTATATAAAATGGTTTGATTTTTATGTTTTTATTCGGTTCTGAAATGATTTGATTCATTTTTTTAACCCTCACAACAAAGTTCTCCTCTACATTACAGTACAATGTAACTGCACATTTAAAATTAGAACTTAAGATTAGACTTGCATTATCAGACTCACATACTTGATGATTGTACTCATGAAAGTAAATATTTCAAGTTAGATTAAGCCTTACATCAGTTTTTATTCTCTAGTATTTTTAATTTATAATTTTCAGTTTTTTTAAGGATAAATTATGCTTTTAATTTCTTGTAATTTACTTCAAAATCATTTCGTTCCACTGTACTTTACAGTTTGACATTCTACGTGTTTGTTCTTTATTTTATTATCAAATTATTATCTTCATTTAGTTTTAAAAGTAAATACAATTTTAAATTAGTAAAAATATAATTTATTCAATATATCATCGTTTAGTTTAAAATTAATGTGTACTAATACTTTACTTTTCAATGTAATGAATTAGAAATATTTCAGATGTTAGTAGTCATGACCATAATAAAAATTAAAATATTATTAAACAATGACTACGAACAATGTCATGAGGAGGTAAATGGTAGTCTTGTTATTTTAAATGCGCATCTATTATTAAAAATATATTCTAAGATGTTAAGTAATGTGATAATGGAACGAAGTATTGGATATAAGATGAAAATTTTAGTAGCATAACGGAACACTGTTTTTCTTTTTATTTTTCAATCAAATCACACGGAATAAAAGTTTGATTTACCTTGGTTACAAATAATATATTTTTTTATTACAACAATCAAGTCTTTTAATTTTTTTAATTCTTTCATTCTCATATTTTTCTTAAATTATTCATAAATTAAATATATTAAATTATTTTAAACTCTTTTTCTATTTTCTTTTTAATTATATCAAGATATTGGTTCAAGTAGTATTCTTGATCTCCTTAAGTAATGTTTTGAATTTGAATCTTTTATATGGAAAAAATATGATTGGAAAGGAATATTTTATTAAAAATAGTCAATCATATTTTTTTGATGCAATGAAGATTACTTATCGACAAAATTATTAGATACTTCATATTATGATTAAAAAAATCCTTTTTTCCTCAAAATCAAACATTACATCTTTTTAAATTTCGTTGATTTTAATGTTTACAAAATATTTTTGTTCATCTCAAATTCACCATATATTTCTTATTATTTGAGTAGAAAAAAGGACTTGAAGTTTTATAAAAATAAAAATGACTGAAAAATGTGATTCTTATAATTAAAAAAATTAATGAACAAAATTTAAATAAAAAGACCAATAAAATTTTGTTAAAGGATCAAAATTATTCCTTTTTTTTTATAATAAAGGGATTAAAATTATAATTGTTTTTTTTATAAACTCAAAATATTGTTATTACCTCAACAAGATATAATAAACAATATATAAATAACATACTTTATAGTCTCATTAAATGTTACATAGTTGACTTTCATAATATATAATACATGCACAGGATAGGGATTATAATAGATTTTTTTAAAAAAAAATATTACATTAACTCATGAGATAACATTCACCTTAAAAATTATATGCATGAAGAAAAGAAATCGATGGATTTGCATTATAACAAACTTACAAGATTTATTTTTATGTGTGCGAGTCTAATATTCAGTACTTATCTTTAAAAGTATATAAAATATTTTAATATATAAAAACTCAAAACTTATAAAAATTCAAATAATATAAAACTTCCTTTGAAATATGCAACATATATCTCTTCCACTTTTATTTTATTTTATTTTATTTACTTATCATCCTTAGATCTATAATCCAAAAATGGATAATTTCCCTCCAAAATTGCTAGAGTTCTCATGGTTCAAACATGCCGTCAATAAGCATGATGACGTTCTTGTATGACAAATCTTTATTTCATCGAAAAATAAATCCAAATATCGGAAGGGATTCACAATTACTATAAAATCTAATTGAAGAAATCAAAATCCAAATGGATGATCATAACTAATTACCCGATCTATCTGTGTAATAAATAATTGTCAGAAATGCTTAATTGCGTATATGACCACTAGATTTTTCATGTACCTTTTTGTTTTTGCATTTTAACTTCTAACTTCTAAGTGGCCTTGTACTGTATAATAAAAACTCATAATTTAATACATATTTAAAATTCGCAAGTAAAAGTAGCTCCTCTCGTGTACAGTGTACAAGTATAAAATACTGCAAAAAATTTATTCAAGTTCTCAATTTTTGGTACGTGGTTTAGGTATTTTTGTTAAGATAGAGATACTTAATTTTCTCCTTTTGCTTGGGAACGGAATTCTTGAAATTAACTTCATTCTTGGCTTCTATTAACATACATTTGTTAATGCAAAATATCAGTTTATCAAAACCGTGTGAGCAAGAAATAGCAAGTTGAAGAGGAATATGTGCTTGTTTATTTTCCACTCTTAATACATGGTGTGTGTTTGTGTTTGTGTTTGTTTTTCCTTTTTCAAATGTTTGTGTTCCTTTTGAACACTCAAAATATAGTTAACTCGTCCTTATATTATGGTTAGTCAAAAACTTTAGTTAATCGAAACTAGCAATTTTGCACGTGCTATAAGAAAAACTATGGTTGCAAGAGTTTCCATCTTACAAAAATAATATTTCATCAACAAACTGTACTATGAACTAGCTTTGATAATACTTATACATGATGTTGTCAGTTATCACATGGTTTGCGGTGCTCTAGAACTTTTTAATACGAAGCACACTTCAAGTTTGTTAATGTAAAAGAATACATCGTATCTTTTTTATTGTTCCAACTATTATGGTAAAATATTCTCGAGAATTGAGCAAATCAATTGGTAGACTTTACTTATCTCTTCATGGAATTCCATTTTCTTCGTCTTAATAGATTTAATACATGGTTAAGTTAGAGTTCCATATAATTAATTACTCTCGATGCAATTGAATTTAAATTATTGGATGTGATTTAAATATGTCTAAATCGGAATCATATATTTACATCGAGATTATATTTTTTTTTTTAAATAAAAATTTAGTACAATAGTTAAAAAAATAAAAACAAAAATGTTTTAAAAAATATTTTAATACTTTTTACTGTATTTTATAATAAAAAAATTCTTAATCAGCATTTTGTTTTAATTTTACCCATATAACTAATAAAAGCACTAATTAACAAGGTTATAGTAAGTAAATACCAAAAATATTAAGAGATATAATTCAGTTAATCGTATAGAGTTATACATGTTGTAATAAATTCTTTAGTATTCGAGTTTGATTCTCATAGGAAAATAAATAAATAAATAAATATTTTTAACTTTAAAATAAAGAGAACGTTACTCTTTTCTTCATTTTATCCTATATAGACCAAGAAATTGGCTCATTCCATTATTATTTTGTTTTCCCACATTCCTAAAGTTTCATATTTGAGTTTAATTTTTTAATGTGATTTTTATGGTTGTTATTATATTATAAAAAAAATAAATTCGTGTAAAAATATATGCTACAAATAACTAGAAAAATAATATGAAATAATATTTTTTTAAAAATTGATTTATTTTTATACAATGTCCACTATATTTATTACATTTTTTTATTTGAACTTTAGTTGCTTTTAATACTATCTTCATTCTTGTATATAAGACTCAATTACTTAATTTATCAAGGTTAAGAACAATAGTTAATTTAGTTAATGATAATGAATTTGTCATATTTTTATATGTATTTTTTTCTAAAACTACTTTTATACATTTTCTTTTCCTAATCAATACTCATATACTCTATAACTAATTAGAGTGCATGACCTACACTTTTTTTCCCTAATTAATGTTCATCTTTCTCATAGTCAATTAGAATTTTAAAAAAAATTATAATTAATGCATTTTGTCAAATTAAGATAACACTCTTTAATTTGATGTATTTTGGTCTAAAAATAATGAATATATATAACAATATGAATTGAATCTTATAAAAAGAAAAAGAAAATTAGTTATTTAAAGTTGGGTGTATAAATAAGAACAAACGTAATAACTTTCATATAAGTAAATTTAATAACACAAAATTCAAATCTTAAATCAATAAAAAATGATTTAAAATCATATTATAAAATAGGAAATAATTATTATTACAAAATAGAAAATAATCATTATTTCAAAATGATCATATGGACTTAAATTTATGAGAGACAAAAATGAACATTTTAAAAGTAAATGACCAAATAAATTTAATAAATAAGATAAAAATCAAAATAAATATAATGAATAAGAAAAAAAAAGTATAATTTAATTTTTTTATTACTATATTTTTCATTTTACAAACCCAAATTAATTTTATTTTTGGATAATAAAAAATTTAGACCAGGATAAAACAATTCAAAATGTATTTAATTCTACTTTTATTCGAACCGACTAATTTAAATTATTTTACATAATTAGTTACAACCGTTTATATGTTAATTGTTTCACGTATTATCACATTTTTAGTAGAAGTTGATGATTGAAATGAAAAATGAGAAATCTTTAAACGCACTTAATAAAAGGTATTTTTGAGACTCCTTGTATTTCTTCGATTTAAACCGGTAATATAGTAAGTTCAGTGATATAAATTAATAAATAAATTATTTTTCTTTTAAATAATTAACTAATTATCCTTTATTTAAATTTTGGCAACATTAGTTTTATTATAAAAAATTGTTTATTACATTGAACATATAAAATATAACATTTTTAATAGTTTTCTATTTGTAATTATTAAAATCAAGCCTTGAGTTAATCTTTAGAAAATAATAAAATGATTATTTTATAAATTTATGAGTGTGCTAATACATGTCCTGGCTAAAAGTAAAAGGGTTTAATGTAAAACAGTAAAAGCATGGAATAAAGACAAAACCTCAATTTCTTATCCTTTGCTTTACACACTAATCCATTCCATCAAATGATTCAAATGCACTCAATCTCTTTTCCAATTTTCTAACAATTTTCCCAGTTACTTTCCTTACCTAACCCTGCTACTCCTTTTCATACATATAAATAATCATAATTTTGTCCATTCTTCCAACTACACCCGCAACCAAAGGCAAAGTCCTGAGCTTTAACGCGCTGTGCTTCGATTTAAACGTACCCAGTTTCATTTTTTATTCTAAAATCCAATGTTTGAGGTAAACCCTTCTCTTTGTGTCTGATTGGGGGTGAAAATGCTATTGGTGATATTAAAAGTTTCATTTTTTTTCCTGTTTGTTTGCGTGTGTGTTTATGATTTTGTTGCAATATCTGAAGGTTATGTCTCAAGACATGAAATGGGTCGTTGAGAGATATGTGTTTTCCGCCTTTTACTGGATCACATTGTTCATACTATGTAAATAACAGGAAGTTTTTATGTATTTATTTTTGTTGGGTTTATCACTGTGGGAAGCATGTGTTATGTATTTTCAGGTTTGGAAATAGAGTGGAAGAATTTGATATTGGGGTGATGGATCAGGCAAAAAGCAAAGGCAGTGGTGAGATATTGGATCATGTTGATGAAAGGGTGGATGAGAATTTGAACCAAATGGTTGAAGGAAATGCAATCGATGCAGGAGATGGACATAGCTTGGGTGACAGAGTGAGTGTAATCGGGGAAGATGTCACTTCAGAAGAGATGTGCAATGATCTTGGATTGAATAGGGAGCTAAAGAAGGGTCCTCAAGAAGTTGATGATCAGGACATGGGTGACCCACAAGAAATTGATACAATGCATGGGGTTGATCAAGGAACTAGTTATAGTTCAAGAAATTTGGTTAATGGCGAAGTACTTGAAACTTGTGTTTTAATAGATCCTTTTGCTCAGATTGAGTGTGTCAATGGAGATAATAGGAAATTGGAAGCAAATCACAATGAATCAGGGTTGAGCAAGGTGTCCATAAAAGCACCCAAAGGGGTGTCTGAGACAGATAAAAATTCATGTGTGATTGATATAAACCGTGACAGCTGCGATGGTTTTAGTGAGAATTTGGAAGGTGAAATGGTTTGTAGGATTTGCCATCTGGCCTCTGGGCAACCATTAGAAGCAGTAGCTGTTGGCACTGCAGATGGTGCTACTACCAATACAGATTTGATTCAGCTTGGTTGTGCATGTAAAGATGAGCTAGGCATTGCGCACAGTCATTGTGCTGAGGCATGGTTCAAGCTTAAAGGAAACAGGTAACTGTTATTTTTGGTAACACCTGTTTATTTTGTAGATCAACATTTTGTTTAGCTTTTCTTGAAGTTTTGCGTTAATACCTGTAACATTGAACATGCTCTTGTGTGCTGTCTACTTATTTTGAATTCAAAATGCCATTTCCCGTAAGGATTCAAAACAATTTCTATGTTTCTCATTACATTGTTATCCTATTTGGTTCAATTTCTGACAAGAAATCCTCTTGGGATGTTCATTATTTTAATAAGTTGTAGTATTTTTTTTTATAATACTTGGCTGACTTTTTCTTTTATATATTGTATCGTCAAATCTTTGAAATTCTGCAGCATACTTATGCATATAGAATTAGGGTTACTGTTATCATTATTAAATTTTATTATCATCAGTAGGAATTTCTAAATTGCAATTCTATTACTATTATTTTCATTGTTATACTTGAACATTAAAAAATTCTTAAATTTGAGTCGAAATTGGCTCCATTGCTTATCATTTGTCAGTTGGTTAATATATGTAGCTCATAGCTGTTTCACTCTTTACTGCTACATCTCTGAGTGGAGAACCAATATCATCGATATGCACCCTGACACATGGAGTTTTTATTGGTAATAGACTTCTCTGGGGTGAGTTGAGCAAATGCATCCAGACACAGTCAGTTTTCTTAGAGATATTAGCAAAAGGCTTGGCTTTGAGTGTGTGTGAGCTGAGGCCAATTGACATCCAAATGATGGCATCAGGTCTTAGTTTGGTGTATATAATATATATCATATGATTGCATATATTTTCCATGTTGATTTTTTTTCCATGTTCGGTCAAAAAATGCTAGTCTCCATGAAGTTTCTTTGAATCTTCTGTTCTCTTTTCTGCCTATGTATGGGGAATAAACTAGGAAAAGTAAGTTTATACTTTTATCATCTCTGAAATAATAATATATTACAACATAAACATATCTCCTACTCCTTTCCCTTTTCCTTCCTGGATCCACCCTTCCTAAAGAAAGGAAAAGCAAAAAAATTGATACATTGAAGATTGCTAGCCAGCAAGATTTTCTTGCCAACTGCAATAATATCCATGATAATTCTGAATATGGGCATGGGCATATTTCACATCTTTTAGAATATTTGTTCGTGGTTGTTAAAGAAGAAACTCTGGATATATGGTACTAATGCAACTTCCTAATGGCACTAATCTAGTTATCATTCCCTTGCATTTTCTTTAACCATTCACTTTCAATTAATACCAACATCTATCTGTAATCTATGTCATTTTATGTCTCCAAGCTCTCCTTGCCTAATTAGTGGTGGAACATGAGACAATTCTTTTGGTGCAGTTGCTAGTGTAATGATGAACCCATGGGACCATAATAACTGGGTAGAACCCATAATATTTTTTGGTTTTTCTTGGGCCAGGGGAGGTTCTGCCATGAAGCCCTTTCCACTCGTTGAGCTTTGTTAGAGTCCTAGTCACTGTTTTCAATATCGATTACATTTTTAACAATATTTAAATAATGAAATGATGGTTCAAATCCATGCTCGATTCAAAAGGATAAAAGTTAGGTGCAATATTATACATGTTGTTGGTACTATTCCTTAAATCAGAAACCGAGTTTCACCTCATTAATATGTATAATAAATGATTTTATTGAATGTTAATATATATTGTCAAGATAAAAACTCCCATTCTTATTGGAAAACAACACTAAATGTACTATATTTAAGTTTTGTCCAATTCAAACTTGTTCAAAATTCTACTGTTCTTGGTGAAGGATGGCCTGAAAATACCATTTTTTTGGTAATTATAATTCTAGTGTGTTTGAAATTACTCTCATACATGTGATTTTTTTGTCTCAAGACCCTTCAGTATTTGAAAGCCATTAGGAGTTAACTCATCTGGGTCAAGTCAGGTCAGCCAATTTGGGGAGGCAAAGCTCTATCAGTACTTATTTTTCACATTAACATCCAATGTATGCACTAGCAGTATATTCTTTGTAATTTGAAAATCTTTCTTGTTTATTGAGCTGAGAGAGGAGTCCAGGAATTTACTTGTGCAATATAATATGCTTTTTGGAAACATTTCCATAGTTATAAGAATGAGCGTGGTCGGTCAATCTTGTTTCATATGTTACCTAGTTTTTTGGTTGAATAATCCTGCAGTTCCTTTGTTCTATGTTACTTATGTTACTACCTTTCATAATCACAGGTTGTGTGAAATATGTGGTGAGACTGCAAAAAATGTTTCAGATGTCACGGATAATGGATTTGTTGAAGAGTGGAATGAAACAAGATTCATGGAAACTGAGAATACCTCATCCAGCAGGTTTGGTGGATGCTGGCGCGGACAACCATTTTGTAACTTCTTAATGGCATGCCTGGTAATAGCTTTTGTCCTGCCGTGGTTCTTTCGTGTAAATATGTTCTAGTGGAGGAGTCAAACACAATTCTTCCCTTCAAATCTTCATCCCTGCCTATATGATGATTGCATCAATCATCAATGGTTCCTGGCATATTCTTTCTCTGAAGGGGTGGTAATGCTTAACCATGTTCAAGCTCACATTTCTCAGGGTGTAGTACCCTGAAGCCTTGAAATTTGGTTGTAAAGAAAGTTACCAACTTGGCAAGTTATGGTCAAAATGTTTCCTTATTGCATTCTTTTGATTGGAGTGCGTGTGGTGTTCTGAGATATATATATAATAGCGGGATCAATTTAATATGTGAGAAGCAAAGAAGATATTTTACTTATATGTTAGAAACAGTACATTATTGGCTGTAAAACAAGCAAACAGAAAAGAGCCTCCTTCATTTTCCTTCTCTCTTTTTTCTTTCTTTAATCTCTGTTGACTTGTTTGCTAGTATAAAGTTCAAAGAATCCAATGTCATTTATTGTCATTAACGTGTTTATATTTCCTTCGTTTTGTTTACAAATGTTCTAACTTCTAACCTACTCTACGTTAGTAAAATTGGTTTTGCCAGCATTTAGCTTTTTCTTTGGGCTAAAGTTGTTCAAAAGTAATACTCGAACACTTGCCTTAATTTTGAAGCTATATAGGTTTCATAAGTTCATGTCCAGATGTATTTGTAATCAAAATTTGAATGCGATAGATCTATAAATTTTAACCTATGGATTAAATACACATGTAAAGTATTTTTTTTTTGGGAGGGGGTTAAGAGTAAGGCACACATATATAATACACATAATACATATAATATTAAGAAGAAAAATACTTGGGCCAACTGTCCTCAGAAGGTGATGTCTAGGTTTGTCACTGATTTGAATCACGTGCTAAGGGAACTAAATAATGGGGGCATATATTGTAATTTCTAAAAGTTAATAATGTTGATAAAAAAAAAAAAAGACTTAAAACTAAATAACAACATATTGTAATTAAATAGCAATATGTGTAGAAAGACGATAATAGCAAAAATAAAGAGAAATATCAACTCTACCTCGAGCTATTAAATAATAATTGGTTCTACTGTAATCCTTTTGAGTAATTTAGATTAGTCCATTTTTAGTGTTTATGAATGGAAAAAACATTTAAAATTGTAACAAGTAACCTAGCAGCATTCCGTTGTAGTCTAGTTGGTTAGGATACTCGGCTCTCACCCGAGAGACCCGGGTTCAAGTCCCGGCAACGGAACTTTTTTTCCTTTACTAATGCGACAAACGCTGCCTATAATGAGTTCTATTCATTTGTGGTTAATACGGTTTAGCATCACATCTTTATATTTTGGCTAAAATTTGAAGTTTTTTAGCGATTTTAGTCTTTAAATTTTATAATTTATTTTAAAAGTTAAATATTCAATCGTTATAATTATATTATTAATCATTTTTTAATATTAAATAAATTATATTATAATTATATTTTCACCTTTTTATATGCTATTTTTATGAGTGAAAATAAAAATTAAAAATATAATTTAACTTTAATATTACTAAATATTAATTATCATATCATTTACTTATCTTTTGTTTAACATCATTAAAATATTAACGAAATAGGAGAGAGGATAATAAAATGGATGAGAAATAAAAATATCATTCATGTGGTAAAAAAAATAGTCTGTGAAGAAATAAAAAGTTTTGAACCTCACTTCTTGTTTTTCAAATTTGCAAATCAACGTATAAATAAGAAGTGATGTTTGAATTCTGTCTGTACAGATTAAAATAGTATTCTCAATCGATTAAACAAAAGTTTTAATCCATTACTTTTACTTTTAAATAAAATTAATATAAAAAGTTGAAACTTTCAATAGAATATATGTTTTCTTAATCGATTAAAGATTTCAACTTTTATATGATTTTTTAATTCGTTACATACTTTAAATTTATTTACTTAATTTAAATTTTTTAATTTTGAAGCTAAAAAAATTATTTTATAATATTTACTTACTTTTAATCAATTATTCATTTTATTTTAAAATATTATTTATTTACTTAGATAAATTTTTATTTAATCAAATAAAATACAAAATAATTAATCAAAAATCATTTTAAAAATATATATTTTTCCATTTCTTTCCTTTTTATTTATTTTTACTCTTTTATTTATTTAAATTTATTTTATCCTCTTTTTTGTATATATCGTTTCTCACTTATTTCTTTCTATCTTACAAAACATACATAATATTATTTCTCTTTTATTTTTTTTCTCCTTATTTCCCTTAAACCAAGCATACAATTTTCTACTTTATTTTTATCATATTTTTATTCACTTATTTCTCTCCTCTCTATTCTTTTTTCACTCTATTTTTCTTTTATTTTATTTCCTCATAACCAAATATAGCCTAAATGTTAAATTATAATCAATATTATAATTTTAACAATCAACATATAAACATTTTGGTTTAATCATTAAATAGCTATAAAAAAATAACGATTAAATCAAAATTATAAATTTATAAAAATTGAGAGACTATTAAAAATAAATTTTAAAAAATTTCTTCCATGGATTCATTCATTTACAAAGTGTACGTAAATTGCGTGAATATTGAGAGAAATATATAAAATTACCATTTACCGATATGTATTCGTGATCAACATTCAAATGAGCTATCAATTTAGAAAACCCTAAATTATACACACACATATATAAGAGAAATTCACTTATTCTAAAAGTATGTTTTGATAGACTTACCTTGTTTAATAACTTGTGTTCTACATTAATTTTTAATAATGTAAATGTTAAGTTAAATTTTTTTAATATATATCAAGTTTGCAAATTTTTTTAAAATTTAAAAATTATTTCATTCTGTTTCATTAACTCAAATTAACAAATAATAAAAGAAATTATATGTTGAATTGAATTAATGAAATAGAATATCAAATAGTCTTCATTTTTTTATAAAAAATTGTAGACTTGATTTATATATTAAAAACTTTTAATTCATCAATTGAATCATTGAAATTTGATATATAACATGAATTATTGAGTTAAATAAGTTTAGGTAGATTTATTTTAAAGTGAGTAAATTCCTTTTCTTTCTCTCTCTCTCTCTCTCACACACACATATATAAAAATATTGAGGTTAGGGTAGATCACCTTCATATGTGGTCCACCATGCACCATTATTTTTGTCCCTTAGATTAATATGAGATACACATTACTAAGGTGTATCTTCCACATTGTATCCTAACAAAGTAAAAATTCATCTTCTTCGTAACACCAACTACCATACATGGCTACTTAAATGCTTATGTATATGGTGCATTGTTGTTGAGGGCGATTTCCAGTGACGTCGTCTGTTGGAATTCATAAAAAATTAGAAGGCTGAAACTCGTGTATTTTATTCATACTTGTAACCTTTTAAATACACAAAACACACTGATACAAATTCTGCTCATAAACATAAAATTAAATGACAAATGTAAATACTTATAAAAGTGTAGCAGCACCTATAATTCCTATAATTAAAATTCATAATCGTAGGAATTCTAATAATGCTCCATTAATCTGAAATAAACTCAAATAATAGATGCTGATTCATATTCTCAACACTCCTCCTTGAATTAGTAGTTATTGACTCCAAGTTTCCCTCTCAAGTTCTTAAACTTTTCTCTTGGAAGTGCCTTTGTGAATATGTCTTCCAATTGATCTTCTTTCTATCTTGCAATATACTAACACAACATTGCCTTTTTTTTTTTTAAATCTCTAACAGAATACAACTCAACATTGAAGTGTTTAGTCTTCCCGTGAAAAATTGAATTTTTAGAAATTGCAATTCCTTTCTTCACAATTCTCTTAACAATTTTCTTCTTCTTGACAACCCTCGGAACCGATTTTCTTGAAGAAACATTGCCAGCTTTAACTGAATTCAGCAACTTATTTTTCCCGCGAGAATCATCAACCTCCCTGACAGAAGGTCGGGAAGAACTACCATCAACAGTCTTTTACACACTCACCTCTTTCTTCCCTGAAATAGAACTATCATTCCCCTTAAAAGGCGACCTATTCAAATCCACAATAACTGAAGACACCCTAACTGGTTGCAAACCAGAATAATCACCATCTGAAACTCTTTTACTCCTCTCCCCATAACCGAAATCTGAATCCAAAATCGTCATGTGATGTGTGCATCCACTGTCAATCAGCCAGCTCTCACAATTGTTATTGGTGGCAAAACAAGTTGCTGCAAATAACTGCTCCTCCTCCTCTTGTTGGTCAACCACTTGAGCATCTGTTTGAGATTGCCTTTTGTTATTGCAAAATTTTGCAATGTGACCAAGCTGGTTGCATTTGTTACAGCGTACATCGAGTCTTCTCCAACATCTGAAGTGGGGATGGTTTCTCTTTCCACAGTGCTGACAAGGAGGATGATTTGGTTTCTCATCATTACCTTTACCACCTTTGTTGGAACTTTCTCCTTGCTCAAAGTTGTTCCCTTGAGCTTCCTTTTTCTTTCCTTTGTAACCATGACTGAGTTTCAGTTTCGCCTATAAAGCACCTTCAATCACGCCTTCCTCCCTCATGAGTCTCCTATATTCTTGGGCTTGCAAAACATACATCAATTCTGCCAAAGTGATATTTGACAGATCCTTGAAATTTTCCAAAGAGGAAATGGTGGATTCAAACCTCTCAAGAAGAGTCACAAGGATTTTCTGCACTACCCTTGTATCAAAAAATTCTGTCCCAACCAACCTCACCTTGTTTACAATGCTTAGAAGTTTGTCAGAATATTCTTTCACCCTTTCTGACTCCTTCACCCACTACATCTCAAACTCCCTGATCAAATTCAGCACTTGCATCCCTTTGACTCTCTCATTTCCTTCATATTCTTGTTTGAGAAAATCTCAGATAGCCTTTGCTGACTTTAGAGTCACAATTCTGGTGAAGATTGATTGAGAAACAGCAGAAAATATACAAGACTTTGCCTTTGATTTTCGCTACTTTCTTTCCTTATGATACTTGATTTGATTAAGTGTTGGATTTTTTGGTAATTGACCAACCTCATAATCCTCCTCAACAGCTTCCCAAAGATCATTTGCATCAAGAAAAGCCTCCATTCTGACTGCTCATAGGTGATAATTCTCACCATCAAATGCTGGTAGTGTTTGGACTGAATAATCAGATGTGGAACTCTCAACCTTACCAGGTCCCTCAAGAACAAAATAAGCTCTGATACCAATTGTTGGAATTCAGAAAAAATTAGAAGGTTGAAACTCATGTATTTTATTCATACTTGCAACCTTTTAAATACACAAAATACACTGATACAAATTTTGCTCATAAACATAAAACTAAATGATAAATATAAATACTCATAAAAGTGTAACAACACCTATAATTTCTATAATTAAAATTTATAACCGTAGGAATTCTAATAATGCTCCATTAATCTGAAATAAACTCAAATAATAGATGCTGATTCATATGCCAACATCATCGCTACTTTTTCCCCTC